ACATGCAATCTTGTGGGTCATAATGCAGATATACAACACAACTAATCAGCGAAATATAAGACCTGTATGAAAATGCGACTAGCACAATTCTCGTCAAAGGCAATATGGGATATTGGTTCAGAATCACAGTTGGAGTCAGACAGGGGTGCCTCCTCTCACCCACACTTTTCAACACATACATGGAAAGGACCATGTCCGATGCCTAGGAAGACCATGACGTCACTGTTAGTGTTGGAGGCAAAGCAATCAGCAACCAATGCTTCGCAGATGATATCGATGGCTTAAGAAGAAATGAACAAACAAAAGAAGAAAAAAAAGAGTGAGTGGACAGAAGCTGGACACAGTTAAAAGTTTCAAGTACTTAGGTACTATCGCCTCTGATGAAGTTTTCAAACCTGATGTTCTTTTCTAGAATGCGCTGACAACAGCTTCAATAGCTAGGAAGCCTATTTGGAAGGACAGTAAAATCACGCACGGGACCAATATCAAGTTAATGCGCTCCCTCGTCACGTCCATATTCCTGTATGCATGTGATACATAGACCTTGTCAGCATAACTAGAAATATGAATCCATACATTAGAGATGAGATGTTATCGAATGATTTTGAACATCCCATGTTTAGACCATGTTTATTATGAGAAAGTGCGCATTAGAATCCAGATTGCAACTGTATCATACGAAGATCTACTCTCCCTATAAAGAAACGCAAATTAAGATGGTATGGTCACGTGTCACGCTCGTCTGTCCTGTCAAAGGCATTCCTACAGGGCACAGAGAGAAGCAAGAGTAAACGAGACAGATGGAAGAGACCGGAAGATGACCATCAAAGAGTGGACAGGTATGGACGTCGCAAAGTTCTAAAGAACAGTGGAGAAGAAGTCAAAATGGAGAAAGATTGTCGCAAAGTCATAAGAGCCGCTTCTGCGACCAGCCAGCTTACGGGAGAAACGAAGGATGATGATGATGATGATGATAATGATGATGATGATGATGATGATGATGATGGAAGTAAAAAAAATATCCCAGTTCAAAAGAAGATTGAAGACACACCCACTTCCGACAATATTAAATGGGTGATCGAGCATTATTTTGGGGGGGGGTAACTATAACGGGTTCTGAGAAAAGATTTAGGGAACATCACGTGGCGGTCGAGATTAAGTGATATTGCGAGGACACGTGTCATCAAATTTCATCCTGTTATTCTATGGTATCTTTTTGTTTAATGGGCCATCCATAATTTACGTTACGCTATTTTGGCCGATTTTGGACCTCCTCGTCACACGTCGTCAGAAACAATCGGACCCCCTCAAATATGACGTAACAAAGCTCTGCCTTTTTCCTCCAAAATAAGCGTCGTTTTTCCTATTTGATAATAAACATGTTTTAAATCACTTTATTGTCATTACAGTATGTATTTTGTGTGGTGCTGCATTTTAATAATGTAGAAGAAAACGTATTAAAATGGAGGCACTGGAAAGCTGAAATTGGCATAAGATTCTTTTGAAAATATTCGACGTCTAGCTAAAACTGCAGAAGTAAGTTTGACGAGAAACAGATCATTTGAACCTCGCGTTGTCGACACCACCTGACCGGAAACGGAAGAATGCTATTAAAATAAGCCACGATTAGAGCTAGTAAGGGTGATGGTAGTTCGAACACAAGTCCATTTTAATTTGAGCTCATGCACGACACGCATGAAACTTCTTAAAACGTTATTAAATAATATCTAAGCAATCAGAAAATTAAGAATGAAAATTGAGTGGAACTTTTATTTAAAGTTGCGCATTTTTAATGTTACGTCACATTTCTTAAACACCCCCTTTCCATCGTCACACTTCATTACAACTGTGTGACCCCCTCCCCTACCGGTGCGTGACGTCATTTATGGACGGCCCCTAAATCGTCTATATTTAAGACGTAAATAAAAATGGTATATGTATTATCATTAGTATTTTATCGGATGCCAGCGCAGATAACAGTGCCGTTTTCTGGCATAGACACGCGAGGCACGTTCCTAGGGCCCCGCTCAGCCCTGGGGGAGGAGGGTCCCGCGGCAGCTCAGAAACAATTTTTGGGTCGGTTGTGTTAGCAGTTTAGTGTTTGTGCCTATGGCCCCAAACTTCTTAAAACGGCTCTGACAAATAGATATATCGACCTTTGCTAGATTGATGTCCATAATGATGTCACTGACGAACTCGATAACACGGAACACTTCTTTGTACACACGCGAAATGAGCGTGTTAAGAAGTGGACATTACAGCTGAAAACTCGCCTGTCCGGTATAGAAACCAAACGAACGGCCACCATACTTGTCCAGGGATGGTTGTACTCCAAACCTGATGGCTCCACTATTGTATAAAAATAAGGGTGTTAGGGTTTATTAAAGGACCCAAACTTAGCTCAATTTGATACATGAGGTATTAAGTGCTCAGTACTATAATTTGTTTTCTTACATTTAAAATTTCGTCACTTATTTACCTATGTTACGTCACGTATGTCAGCATGCATCTGTCTTGCTGCACGCGTAGTGGTAGATCAATTTACAGAACGCTATTTTGTCTATTTGTCATAGTTAAATTTATTAACAGGTTCAAAGAAGCAAACAAAATTTATAATAAAACATTTAGAACTTTTCCAATACGATTCCTGCTTTGAAGTGATGAGAGACCCTTAACGCATAATTTTGTATATAGAGTTAACAGAATCAGGTCTTTTGGGGCGTATTCGACGCCACACCAGGCGCACAAATGTGCTGCTTCGACTCATACCAAGTAAACATGAGCCGCCGCGCCAGATTGCAAACTCGGCAATATTAATAACAGGCAATAGTGGCTTACTAATGGTAAATGGCGCACGGAGTAAAGATAATACCTCCGCCAACGATTTTCTTGCAATTTAATTTGTATCAGCTGTCCGCCCTCACGCCTTGTTACGATACTGCAGGCAACACCAAATAGTACCGCTTACTTTTATCCTGGCGCAATTCCGCGCCAGCAGTATAGGGCATTTCACGGTTGCAACGGAGTTACTGATCGTAGCGCTTAAAATTACCTCCCTGAGTTCCAATGCCCCCACCCCACCCCCACCCCACCACCACCCCACCACCACCCCACACACAAACCCAGTTCCTGATAGTTCAGAATCTTAGCTGTACTACAGTTAATTAACATCTTTTGTTCATACTAGGAGAATAATTATAGACATTACATCAGATAATTAGATTCGGTGTACGTGCTAATATTATATCCGATAATTAAATATTTACTGTCCATACTTAAATGATATCAAATAATTAAGTTAAATACACTGTCCATATTTATGTTATACCAGATAATATTCATAATCCATGGTTTTAGATACATTTTTAGGAATATTTCAACTTGCTCTCTTATTTTAAACATTTATTGCACATTTTAGCCTGCATAACTTTAACGAAAATCAGATAGATAAATTGCATTTTTTCATGACGTTGACATGCCCTTCTTTCTCAGTTATTTTCTCAATGCTAATAGTTCGTTTATAACACGAGTTAAGAAAGTTATAACACGAGTTTGATAAGAAAATTAGAACACGAGTTCGATACGTCAGTTGATCTGTAATGCTAAGCAATAGTTACATTAACTATTATAAAGATAAAGGAATATAATTAATGCAGATGGAATATTTATTCATAGTTTGGTGTAAATTTCGTACAATATTCAGATTAATTAACACGACCAATGACTTTTTTGGTTTATTTTCTTTGTGGTGGTCGTGGGGGAAAGGTTCTCACATCTTTAAACAATCAAAAAAGTATTTCCTCATACACGTATTTTTTTTTCTTTCTTGTCTTGTCCAGTCAAATATAGCCATGCATTCATTCAACCTAATAATTAATTATTTACATTGCTCGCTGGTTTTCTCAAAACTTGAAACATGAAGCATCGGAAGGTGCATGCAATAATTTTCAGCATGATGTTTCTTTGCCTCTGAAATTTGTGATTTCTGATTGCCATAAATTTATCTGAAACAGCTTTCTTAAATCTAATTTAATTTTATATGACTTTCCATGCATCAAATATGTAAGTTTAAAAGATTAAATTATTTCACAGATTCCATCCTATTACTTTGTTTTGCCCTTTTAATTAATATTGATCCACGTGACCAGATTTAAAATAGCAGACAGTATGATTTTAAAAATAGACTGTTTGTAAGAACATGCTCTTCAATTCAACAGTAAAAGAATAGTCACACATATTAAATATTTGTTGTCTTTATCTATCAGTTACTCTTTCTATCTTAGCACTATTCTATGCTCGTTTTTTAACCAGAAGTATGTTTATACGTATGCGAACACACTCATTCAAGCATATACATACATATACATATCCATGCACCAGATGAAATGAGACAAACATACATATAGACAGACAGGCACATAGGTGAGAGCCACAAATGTCAAATACATACATAGTGTGTCTAATATCAATATTTCTCCAAATTATATACTCTAAAAATTCCAACCGTTCAAGGAAATTAAATTAAAATAATCATCAAGGAGACTCGTACGTGCGTCTGTCTGTTCAAGCATGGCATCATTCCTTGATATATATATATATATCAAGTTATTTTATGAAAAATATAATGAACATTAATGGAAATGTAACAGTCTAAATCGATAATAAAAGCTAAGGTGGAAGGAAAGACCAACAAACAGATTTTTTTTTGAAAATGTACAAGTTGTATTTTTATCTAACTTTATTTAATGAGTTAAAAATGTACAATTGCTTAGTACTAAAAATGTCAGAAAATTTATGTTATTGTTTGCTCGATCTTAGAAAGAAAAGTATTAAAGAAGTATTAAATTAAAATATACTGTTTAAATGGCGAGTAAACAAATACGACCAGATAAATCATCAAAATCTATGACGGAAGGAAGAATACGTTTAAAACTTAAGATTATATTAGAGGTCAAAGCTTTTCTACATTATTTGCTAAGTAAATAAATTAGCTCTGAAACCGCTCAGGTGGTCCAGTGGTTAGAGCGTCCGCCTCAGATGCGGGAGGTCGTGGGTTTGATCCCCAGTCGAGTCATGCCAAAGACTTACAAAAATGGTACTAACAGCTGCCTCGCTTGATGCTCATTATTAAGATGTTAGTGTTAGGGCTGGTCGGCCTGGTGTCAGGATAATGTATCTGGGTGGGACATCATGCTACATGTCTGCGGCATGATGCCCCAGTGCCCCGGACATCACTATAAACTTCCCCTCTGCAGACACCGTAGCGATATGACTGAAACATTGTTAAAGCTACGTAAAAAATCATAATCACGTCACATCAATTAGCTCTGATTGATATAATGTTGACTATTAATATATAATATATTATTTGTATTAAATATTATTTGTCAGATCTTTAGTTATCATTACCTAGGAGATGATTGATAACGGTGTCATTGCCCAGATCGAGTAAACAATAACATAAAATATGAAATTAGTGGATGGAATAGCATAGATATGAGTAGAGATATAGAACAGAACAACACGAGACCCACAAATAAAATTTAACAATTTATTCAATTATTAAAGAAATTAAAATTGAATAGGAAATATTCTATCTCTCTCTCTCTCTCTCTCTCTCTCTCTCTCTCTCTCTCTCTCTCTCTCTCTCTCTCTCTCTCTCTCTCTCTCTCTCTCTCTCTCTCTCTCTCTCTCTCCGAAATAAAGTTTCAAAATGTATGTGAAAATTCAATTTGCCGTTCAGTTACACCGAGAAAACAAATTTCATCGTATCGAATGACTGATCGAACTCAAATCGCTGACATATCATCATCACCTTGCTGTTTCCGGTCTTGGACAAATCCTTGTTGGTGATAGGTCGACGTTGTCGTATCGCCCCCCCCCCTCTCGTCATTAACAGTCTTGGTTGTAGATTGCACTCTTTTGAGACTCGCTGTTAATATACTTTTACTGCAAAATCAGCCATTGAAGATAAATATGCAAATCTTGACAGAAAATATAAGAAAGTAAGGAATAACATGTTAATGTGATGTTGTATATTGACATCGGAGAAATCTGCTGAGAAGAGGTGCTTGAGGCGATGCTGAAGAACACTAAATTCCCAGGGCATGGATTGGTGTTATGTATATGTAATTAAATTGTTTGTTAGTTTAAAATTTTTATTCGATTCCATTACCTGTTATTGTAATAATAATTTTGTCTACTGGATTTATAATTCAGTTCCCTTTGAACTGATAAAACCAACCAGTAGTCGAAACATATTATCTTTGCTGACCTTGACTAACGACCAGTAAGGCAGTTTTTTTCTTTGTGTAAACAACTTTTTTTTTCCATAGTAAAAACAACCCCACTGAATTTTAGTTAAGGCTATGCTAGAGTACGTAACTTTAAGCATGTGAAAAACATTCTCTGACGTTCGAGAATGTGACTACGTGACACTCGTCCAAGAATCTATTTTACGTCTTATTTAATGTAAAACTTTTTTTTTTTCTTGAGAAGGAATAGCCAGTTGTGTTTTAAATCGCTGACACTTAAAGGTGTCTTTTTGTGACCTGTTTGATTTGAAATTTTCTATTTATTGGAATTATTCATTTTTTTCCTTAAAATACTAGTGCTCATCAGAATTCTTAGACAAAGAAATTTATTAAAAATTATTGAATTCAAAAAGTGGAATATTGTTCTTTGTGATTCAACAAGGATCTATTGACACACCAGGACAATGCAGACAATCGAAGACGTCATCGCCTTCCACCATGGAATTTCATCGGGATTTGAACTGTGATTCACCTAGAACATTTTATTGATAGGACTTATAATTTTAAATTCTTGGGTTAATTTTGGATTTGATTGATAAACAGTACGTCCTTTTTCTTATTTTTACCTTGTTTTTTTTTTCCTAGGGAAATAAATTATTTGTTAAATTGTACAAAGCTAGTTGGCTTCACTCTTTTCTTTGTAACTTTTTTTTACGAGCCTAAACACGTAAAATGGGTCTGTGCAGAGACGCTGAAAGCTGATAATAAGATAGCAGTGGAAAATTGTGCAAACTGTCTACAACAAGAATCTCGGGTGATTGAAAGAAAGGAATTATCATCCGCATGCGGAAGAACGGCGATCAGCCGACGTGCTATAATTTTCATGGAATCCCCCTCCTTACAGTTTCTAGTTTGAAAATAATACCCTTTAAAACAGACACATGGTTTGACATAATTTACAAATAGTCCAATGACTAAGACAAGTACGACACTTAGATTATATTTACTTACACACACACACACACACACACACACACACACACACAGAGCGAATTTTAAATAAATGTTATGTTTATTTAGGATATCAAAATATTTAACAATTACAGACATACTGAACAATTTTCAATGCAACTGCTTCCAGTCCATACAGGAACTATTCAAATTGCTAGTTATTTCATCACGCGAAATTAAAAGTGAAAGTGTTTCCTTCCCGTGTCCCTTCTATGTTATTCATCTGAAACTTCCTCCTTGTATTCCTTTGTCCCTAGTGTATATTTTTACTCGTTATTGTTTAGTTTATTTATCTTTTTATAACTTAATTTGGTTTTCTATTTGTTATTAATCTCTATATCTCTTGCTTTTTTTGTATTTTGAATATCTGTTGTTTATCTGTAGTTTGGTTATCTTTAACTGCATCTTGGTTGTCTTTAATATATCTTAAAAACACAGCTTTGTCTTACATTGTAGGACTAGGTTGTCCTTTGATTTAACTGCATCGTTGGTTGTCTATTTTTGTACTTTGGTTATGTTTTTTTTATTACTGCATCTTGGTTGTCTGGTGATTTAATATCATTTGGTTGTGTACATGTTTAATTATAATGTGATTGTCGTCTGGGGTGTGTATGTGTGTGATTTAGATTTTAACAATTTCTTAGTCATATCGCTACGATGTCTGCAGTGTGGCAGTTTATAGTGATGTCTAGCACTGGGGCATCATGCCGCAGACATGTAGCATGATGTCCCACCCAGTCACATTATCCTGACACTAGTGAGACAGCTGTTAGCACGATTTTTGTAAGTCTTTGGTATGACTCAGCCGGGGATCGAACCCACGACCTCACTCATCTGAGGGGGACACTAACCACTTGGCCACCGAAACGGTGATTGTCGTCTGGTTTAAATATATTTTCTGTTTGTATTTTCGTTGTCAAATAGTTTAACTATACTGTGGTGATCTTTATAATTAACTTGATCCTTTCCCACTGTAAGAAGCGGGGAACTCCTACCACCACCATAACTTACTTAACTAGCACACTAACAACAGTTGTGGCTTCATGGTTTTGTATGGCAAATGTATCTGTTCATCTGATGGAATAATAACTAACAGCTAGAATATACTTGTTCTCTTTTGAAGTACGAGGCAATGAGCCATTATATCAACATAAATCCTTGCTACTGATGATGCTCCTATTGAATATAACCCAAATTCTGCCTTAGGCTGCGTAATTGGTCTCTCTTAAGACAAAGAGATGTCACAGTGTGACCCTATGATCAACTTCCATTCATAAGCCAATATTCCAAAAATCTAGCTCTTACTCTTTCAAGGGTTTTCTTGATACCTAAAAATCAGCAGTGCCAACAAACAAATTGTGCCAAAAACCATGCCAAATGGTATCTCTTCCATTACTATGTGCCAGGCAATACCGTTACAATTGCGCTGTTCCACTTAAACTAGAATGCATTCTTTTTCATTTCTAATGACTCACACCTGGCCCAATAAAAGCTCCACACTGCACTCTTTATGTCCATCTCAGACCACTCTGGAAAAGTTATTTTTATTTTTTTTTTTGAGACAATCTTGTAATGCTTGTATCTTTTTGTTTGGCATCTCTCAGGAAAAAGTGACTAATACCTCTATTATGGAGTGGCCCTTTTTTCAAGGACAAGGGGAATAGAACACAGTCTTTTACCTTTCTTTGCTTTTGATCTAGTGTCCACACAAATTCCATGTTATGTGGTCATAAACTAACAGAACGAAGCAAAACCACCAAGTAATGTAAAACTTTACAAATTATGTAATAACCAAAGTCATAAATGAAAATGTGTGAGAAACTTATGATATTATGAAGTGAAACCAAAATAATGATGAAAAAAATTCTATTAAAGTATAAAAGAATAAAAAGTTCCATATAAATGTTAGAACTGGAAATGTACTGGTCTGCCAAGAATCATGATATCAACAAAATGTCATTGTCCAGAGTTCCTTTAATAATTCACAATTGTTCCTGAAAAATATTATAGCCGCCCCCCCAAGAGTACTTTCTATTCCAACGAAGTCCAAGCAAATGTTTTTCCTCTCGTATAATATCAAAGTACACCAAAGAACAAGTCTGCAGCATTGATGTTACAAAAGAAACACAAGAACTAATAACTTCAAAATATGAATGACATCTGAATGATCATTTCTCTTCTTATGATAATTAACTTAAATCTTCTATGATACCACCTGACCAATCTGTCCAATGTGAAAAATACCAAATCTCAACATAGTTAACAATTTTATTATTAGTAACTGTCAACACATATGTAAGAATCAGCTAACAGATTCTATGCAATACTATGTACTTTAACATGCACATACAAAATCCAGCTATAATTTAGAGCCATGAGTAAAAATTTCAAAAAGTAGACAAAACCTTAGTTACAAAAATTAGACATATAGGGACCACATATTTTAAAACCTAACTTTTTAATGCTATTTACAAGTGATTTCAGCCATATCTGTTTATAATCCTATGTAAAACAGTTCAGCAAATCATTTGATAACTTTTTATGATTTTTGAGGATTTAAATCACGTGATTTGAATCAACCTTGAATAAGATCCCTTTTTCTTTGCAAGGTATTTGACTTTTCCAGAGTTAATTTTATGGTTATTGCAAATGTTTGTATTTTTTGTTATTGTTTTTTTTTTGTCAATTAAATCTGTAAACATACCACAATCAATGATCACAACATTGTTCAGCTTGGCATATCTTTTATTACATTTAAATATTTATTACATGATACTGATTTAGGCTGTGACTTTTAGCTGTAAATTAATATAGCTTACATTACATTTTATGGACAGGATATGAAAACATTACCAGTGAAATTTAAGTAAAAATGAAAAAAATTATGATCCATATATTTTTAGTGCTATATAACTTGGTCTCTATGATGCATCTAATATGTTAGAAAGAAGACTAATCAACAATATATATATATATATATATATATATATATATATATATATTATGGGTAGTCCCCCCCTTCAACTCACTTAAATTTAAAAACTGGGCCTCCTGCACATAAGTGTGAAAGAAAATTTCTTGATAGGCTCTTTTCTTTGGGGGGGGAGAGAGAAGATATGGTCTCCAAGACATGTTTCACTGTCATGACACTGGCAACCTATTGCTTAACTCAAGACATACACTAAGGCCATCAAGCAGATGGCCGAGTCCATGAATTCCATAGAAATAATACCGTAAAGCCCTCAAGGAGACAGGCGAACAATAAAATTCATGAAACTTGTGACTTGCCATTCCCGGATTCACAGTATTAAAGAAAAAGACCATAAACAATGTTGTATGAAGATTGTATGCTAAAGAAATAACAACAAAACCGATGGGTGGATCATTTTTATTTATTACTGGTTAAGTCATAATTTATTTCATTCATTATTGTATGAGGTCTGTTAAGGATTAATCTACTCAAGCTTTTTCTTCCAATGTATAATATTGTCAGCAGTATTTGCAATTGAAATATTGAAAAAAAATATTCTCAGTCACCACATACAAGTAAAAGAACTTATACAGATTATATGAAAAAGCATTCAGTCAATTTGTTTACAAAAGCTTAAAAACTGAAATGAAACATAAGCAGTCAAATCTGGTCTTGATAAAATGTTGATTCTTCAGCTACTGCTCTTTTGGACTTAAAAGCATAAATCACTATTAATTTAGCATATATAATTTTCATGAATTTAATTAACTCTGCATATGTTTCACAATTTGTTCACTGGTAGTTCACCAATTTACCATTATTGAGAATAACATTTCAGCAGATTTAGTTTCTCTGCCAAATTCATGAACAAATTTCAATGATTCATCTTGCTATTGTTTTACAACATTTGGCAAAACAATGAAACAATGAATATGTATCTCTAGACAAATAAATTATTTGCTTAAATCTAAAAATTTCTTTTGATTTTCATTTTAAATATTCAAGGAGCAACCAAACTTTCCAACACATTCTGTGTTTCTCAAGGAGCCTACATAACTAATCTGAATATCAATGTTGGATGGCATCAAATGAATTAAATGGGAAAATGGAGTTTCAATAGCGGCTAATAATGGTAAATTCAATGGCTAATTTTGCACCTCTTTCACTAAGGACTGAGCTGCTATGTAGCTGGGGTTATGCTCTTATCAAAGGTTTCACAGCAGACAAATTTAATTAAGTCTATCTAAACCAGATACTGCACAAATATCTTACATCAACAAATCAAACATCCCCAATAATTTTGGTAAAGCTAGTAAAAAAAATCCAGTTAGATGGAAAAATACAATGTCTATGTTGCAGTCTCAATCAGTGAAGTAACAGGATTTTAATTTACTATGAAACATGTAAGCCAATATCATCCATCAAACAATAATTCACGACAGTTGTATATGCTACTGGATGTGGCAGGAAAACCTAAATTCAAGCCTTACAAATTACATTTTTTAAAAGCATACACAAATATGATACTAACAAGAAACAAACTAATTTTCCTTGTATACTTAAACCATGTATTTTAAAATGCATATATTCTCTACTTGGGCAAAAATAGACTATAATGTGCAAATAATTTGAAAAACTCACATTTGGTATACAAAATTCTCTTCATTTTTATATTCATAAAGTAATTATTGATTCATATTTTCTTTTTGTTATTATCAGAATATTTTAAGGCAATGAAACAAGCAAGAAATCTACCAACAACACTTTCCTCTTCTGATAAAATATATTCCTTTTCCTTTAAGATGAGCATATTTTAAAACTTTCTTTTTCTTACAGAAAGTCCATAACCTGCTTATGAATCATTGTTACTGTCAAACTGGCACCAGTTAAATGTATACCTCTAAGGAAATTATTATAGCATATTTGGAACAATTTAGAACAATTTCTGTTATCATGGTCGGATGTCAAAAATAAATTATTTAGTAAAATAAACTGTAAATATCCACCAAAGCAGACATCCTTTATGTCTGTCATTACCCAAGATGTATGAATGAGATGTGAAAACAAGTCACTTGTCCAAAATCTGTAGAAATCAGACAGGACTTGGCAGTGTACTTGCACAAAGATGTTATTTACAGAAAGGCAAATTTTTTTACATAAGTCAAGTGTATATACATCAAATATGTCCTTTACAATTTTCTCAATTTCTACCTAAAATGTCTGTTCAAATGAAAGGAATGGGTCTAACCATTCTACACTATGCATAATTGATACATAATTCTTCAGCTATAATCTTGTTAATAAATTAGCCAATTGTAAGAAATGTCTTTTGTTCATCTAAACTGCCAAAAATAAATTGTTCTGATAAAATCAAACTCAAAAGTGCACCAAAATGTTGAAAGTAAAGAAAATGTCTGAATTTTACTACACAAATTAAATTAAATGGATTAGTTTTTGAAAACCTGTTTTCTTTTCTGTGCTTAAAAGTTTGTGTAAAAATGACTTACTCGTATGTATCAGTTTTAAAAGTGACAATACCAAAGCATGTACAATTAAAATTTTTAGAATCATGATAAAAACCTTATATCATATTCCTCATCATGCCAGATGTCAAATTAAAAATGTTTGCTACCACAACTATTTGACTACAAAAATTTATTTTTTGATATGTTTAGGTGTTCCATCAGTATTTAGGTAAAGCATGAACCATAACTGACATAATAGATGCAAAATGATACATGTCTATAAGCTTATCAAGTCTTCTCAGTTAACAAGCAGCATAGAATACTTTACAATTTAATACCCACCAGTTATATGTCAGGGCTGTTCCATTAAAAAATACAAGGGACCCAGGGAATGCACATTTAATGTGGGGTACTTGTCTATAGATGCAATTT